ACATGTACTCTATATATAGTTGACTTTTCGTTGTGATGGAAAACAATTTAGAAACACAAAATCATTGTATTCTTTTATCATATAGTGAATTCTCTTCCTTTGCTCGTAGTTGCTCTACTTAAAATCTTGTGTTTGTGATTCTTTAGTTTCATATTGTCATATTACTATCGTTTCTTGAATCTAACAAGTGATATAAAAGCAAATTAGTATCCTTTAATTTCTGACAAGTTGTTTCACAATGAGGCTCGATCAACTTAATTCAATGATTGGTTTTTTGAGATCACAATCATGAAGTATAATATTTCGCTTTTTTATTGCAGCACCAGATATTTGGTATGGCGTGTAAAGATATGAGCAGTAATCGCTCAGATGGATTTGGATTATACTTTATTGAGATTTGACAAGATGTTCTCAACTTGAAATTGGAGCAACTTTGCATGACAAAGAGTTTGACTAGTAATCTATACTAGAAATAGCACTTGTATTCTCACTGCATATCTAAAGGTACGTTGCTTGAGGATCATTTGACTGTTTTTAAGGAAATTGTGGCGGATCTAGAAACTTTAGAAGTTAAATATGATGAGAAGGATCATTAATTGATTTTATTGTGTTCAGATGCCCGCTATATATGTCTTAATAGATACGATCTTATATAGTCGTGATACTATCACCATGAAGAAGTATATGATGCTCTATTTTTAAAGGAGAAGATAAAGCATCTTGTTGGATTTGAGGCTCATGGAGAATGCCTTATTGTTTATGGTGGTGATATGAAGGGAAAATTGAAGTCCAATTCCAACAATAAAATTTGTAATCACTGTAAGAAAAAGTGGCACATTAAGAATGATGGTCATAAGTTGTAGAATAAGGAAAGTTAGTTGTTGCAAATTAGAAGGGAAAACAACAAGAAAATTTGGTGAATCCATGTTGTAGACAATTGATAGGATTATGGAGAACTTTTGGTTATTTCTGACTATGACTTAAAACTTGATGAGAATTGGATTCTTGATACATTTTGCACTTCATACGTGTCTTAATCGGGATTTATTTTCAACACATGAAATGGTTTCAAACGATGTTGTGGTAATAGAAAATAATGTACCTTGTAAGATAACTGGTATTAGAAGGGTCAAAATTAAGATGTTTGATGGGATTGTCGGTACACTTGGTGATGTGTAACATGTTCCAAATTTGAAGAAAAAATTTATGTCCTTGATTACGATTGATTCAAAAAGGTATAAGTGCACTTGTAAATGTGAAGTCTTGAAGGTTAGTAAAGATGCTCGGTGCTCGTATTGTGAGGAAGGGGCAAATAATGTCCTAGTTATATGTCTTGCAACATTAGAAATTAGGTACCCAAATGGATTTTGAGTTTGCTAAAGTGCCGTCGGAGCTTAATTAAGGGTCTATATTAAAGAATACATCTTAGTTGTGTTTAGAAGTTATGGGCAATGCTACTTTGCTATAACCACTAGTAGTGCCACAATATTCAATGCTAGAGATAGACCCATGATAGATATTAGGCCTCCATAAAAGTACGTGAAAGCTGATTAGTTGCCTATACTTTAAATGTCATTGAAGGTATTGAATCTAGCGAAGAACCTTCTACGGAAGCAGTTAGTTGTGTTGATTCTATTATAGAGTATGTTTCTGCCCTATTTTGTAATTATTGAGTTATTTTTAATCTTGTTGCTCGTGGTGATAATTTGAGCAACTTTGGCACCCAAGGTAATCTTGCTGAATAATGTTTGGATTCAGTTGATATTCAGGTTTTAAGTTTTTCTTTGTTGAGCTTTATGGAAGAGGTAGAGAGTTTTGTTGGAAATTTTTTGTTGAAGATTTAGCTCTATTTCTTGCAGGGGAATTCACCTCTTCGTGGAGAATTTTTTGAAGCTTTGTTCATTGCAGTGAAATTTGTGTTAAGGTAGAGATTTGCTGAAATGCGACCCAAATTCATTTGATAATGATGGCTTGGTTGAAAAAGGTCAAAATATGGACCAAGAAAATTGGAGCAGAGTTTGGGCGCTACTATTCGAGCACCTATGCACTAATCAGGTGTGAGATTTGGATTTGGAATTGAGATTTAGCGCCTAGCACCATACTGAAGTGCTGCTTACCACTCGTTATTCGCAATCTTTAGCGCTTGAGCGCAACTGTTATTTGGCTTAGGCCTATTTGCAATTTTGACGATTTTTGAGACATCAATTCCACCTAAAACACTTAGGGTTTGACATGTACTTTATATATAGTTGGTTCTTCGTTGTGATAGATAACAAGTTGAAAACATAAAATCATTGTATTTTTCATCATATAGTGAATTCCCCTCATCTATTCGTGGTTTTTTCACATAAAATTTTGTGTTTGTGATTGTATACTTTTATATTGCCATATTACTTTCGTTTTTGAACGTAATAAGTAATATCAAAGAAAATTGGTATCCTTTATTTTTAACGGGTAGTTTGATATATTGTGGCAAAATCTAGGCCATTGATTGTTTGTGTTTTGGAAATCAATAGCAAAATTGTGTGCATATTGGTCACAAACCCCTAGTAGAAAAGATTGAAAAATCATCACAAACCTCCCTTATTTCTTTTCTATTGTAATTTCTGGATTATTATATGACGATTTTTGAACTTTCCACATATAGAAAAGAAATAGAAAGAGATAGACTAGAGACGATATCTGTTACGTCAATGACACCAAAGGGGTATTAAATGAATGTAATTGGGATATGGATGGAATATAATGAAATAGAGCCACTTTGAGGTTCCCTTTGAAATTAGACATGGAAGGGAGCCACTATGAAGAAGTTTCAGGAGTTATGAAGGAAGCTTCTAGCTCATATTGGTCATGGGTTGAGAACGGGAATTGAACTCTATGATATCTAATCTCCCGATGTTCCTCAGTAGCTCAGTGGTAGAGCAGTCAGCTGTTAACCGATTGGTCATAGGTTCGAATCGTACTTGGGGAGATTTGATTCATTCTGAATTAACAAATTCCGAATAAAGGGGGCTCGCTTTGACCATTAAGAGTAGGTAACATGTTCCCTGTCTTTATTTCTATCTCATCGTATCACATCCCGTTCTACGAGATTTGAAAATCACCGTCAATACCTCGGTGTAGGTCCGGGATAATCCTTCATTCCATAGCCCTGCGGCTATTTACAACTAGCCAATTAAGAATTCTCAGATATACTAGCACTGCATCTTTGATGCAGTCATCGATTCTCCCGAGAGTTACAATTGCTGTAAGCAAATATATTAATGACGAGGAAGGCATTTTTGTAATGCTACTAATACTTGTACTTCCTCTGCTATTTTGCCCAAGCCTGGCTGATGAAGGGGCGTAAAACAAAAAAAATATGTAGATGGGCCGGGGGCATACTATTTGTAATGATTCCATCATTTACGATAAATAATAAATAAAAAGAAAAAATCATTCCAAGACCCACACCCAAGTTCCATAGCTTTTGGTCCGCTATCCCGATCATGATTTTCCTACCCAGAGGGAAAGGTACTTCCCTTTTGGGCCGGTTGTGGGCGAGGAGGGATTCGAACCCCTGACACTGTGGTTTATAGCCACGTACTCTAATCCTCTGAGCTACAAGCCCCACCCCGTCTCCACTGGATATGTTCCCGGGAGTACCCTAAAAAATGAACCTTTCCTCTCCTCTCCCCAGCCATTTCATTTTAGGTTAAGAAGATGTGAAAGCGCGTTTATCTCTGTAAGAACGATGTGTTCTGAGGTGTGAAGTGGGAGAGAAGGGATGTCATAATTGGGATTTTGAATAAGACGACCTTTTGTTTTTCTTTTTTTCGTTGAAAAAGAAATAAGAATAAGAGGTGTTAAGCTTTTTATCATCCTGGCATTGAGCTATTTTTTCGCAGGACCTCCCTTATAGTATTGTCACCACAGTAGAGTTTAACCACCAAGTTCGGGATGGATTGGTATGGTTCTTCTACTCCTAGGACACCAGAATATCAAACCATGAACGAAGGAAGGTATGAGAGAAAAGCCTATTGGCTAGTGATTGTGAGGCCCTAATTCTTGACTGGAGGGGACACCAAAGATCTTTGCCCTTCCATCCCTTGGATGGATAGAGAAGGAGGGCATAGCTTTTGGTTTTTTCATGTTGTCAAAAAGTTGAACAATGGTTTTTCGTGTTGTCAACGATTTGAACAATGAAAATAGATGGCGAGTGCCTGATTGAATTGATCAGGTCATGTACGAACAAGGTTCAAGTCTACTAGTCTGTTAGGATGGCTCAGCTGTATACTCTACACTTCTACTTGACACTTGTCGTAATGATAAACGGCTCGTCTCACCGTGAAATTCACTTGAATTCTCAAAACTTTTATCGCTTCATCCCCGCAGGGTAAGAGAACCCGTCGCTGTCTCGGCTGTACTACAGGAAGATTTGGGGAAGTTGGAATAGGAGAGCACTCATCTTGGGGTGGGCTTACTACGTAGATGTTTTCAGCTGTCATCCGCTTCGCACTTGGCTACCCAGCATTTACTGTGGGCACGATAACTAGTAAACCAGATGTGCATCCTTCTTGGTCCTCTCATACTAGGAAAAAGTCCTCTCAATGCTCTAACGTACACATCGGATATGGAGCAAACTGTTTCTCAAAGTTCTGAACCTAGCTCACGTTCCGCTTTAATGGACGAATAGCCCAACCCTTGGAACATACTACAGCCTTAGGTGGCGAAGAGCCAACATCGAGGTGCCAAAACCTTCCCGTTGATGTGAGCTCTTGGGGAAGATCAACCTATTATCCCTAGAGTAACTTTTATCCGTTGAGCGACGGCCTTTCCACTAGACACCGTAGGATCACTAATGCCGACTTTCATCCCTGCTCGACGAGTGGGTCTTGCAGTCAAGCTCCCTTCTTCCTTTACACTCGAGGGCCAATCTCTGTCGGCCCGAGGAAACCTTTACACGCCTCCGTTATCTTTTGGGAGGCCTATGCCCCATAGAAACTGTCTACCTGAGATTGTCACTTGGCCCGTTGGTCCTGACACAAGGTTAGAATTCTAGCTCTTCCAGAGTGGTATCTCACTGATGGCTCAGGCCCCTCGGAAGGAGGCCTTCTTTGCCTTCCACCTAAGCTGCGCAAGAAAGGCCCAAACCCAATCCCAGGGAACAGTGAAGCTTTATAGGGTCTTTGTGTCCAGGTGCAGGTAGTCCGCATCTTCACAGACATGTCTATTTCACCGACCCTATCTCTGAGATAGTGCCCAGATCGTTATGCCTTTCGTGCGGGTCAAAACTTACCCGATAAGGAATTTCGCTACCTTAGGATCGGTATAGTTACGACAGCCGTTCACCGAAGCTTCTGTCACCGACTCCCCTCTCATCAGGTCATCAACTTCCTTGGCCTTTCGGCACTGGGTAGGCGTCACCTCTATACAGGGTCTTACGACTTTGCGGAGACCTGTGTTTTTGGTAAACAGTCGCCTAGGCTTGGTAACTGTGACCTCCTTTGTGAGGAGGCACCCCTTCTCTCGAAGTTACGAGGCTATTTTGCCGAGTTTCTTAGAGAGAGTTGTCTTGCACCCCTAGGTATTCTCTACCTGCCCACCTGTATCAGTTTTAGGTACAGGTTCCCTTTTGTTTAAAGGTCGTCTGAGCTTTTCCAGGGAGTATGACGTGGGTTACTTCAGCACCGTAGTGCCTGGTGCTCGAACATTAGCTCGAAGCATTTTCTCTACCCCTTCTTACCCTGAAAAAGCAGGGGCACTTTACGTTCTTGAACTGATAACCACTTTCGGCTAACTTAGTCTCCTCCGTCCCTCAGGACCAACAAAGGGCAGTACATGAATATTCACCTATTGTCCATCGACTACGCCTTTCGGCTTGATCTTAGGCCCTGACTCACCTTACGTGGATGAACCTTACGGAGGAACCCTTAGGTTTTCGGGGCATTGGATTCTCATCAACATTTGCATTACTCAAGCCGACATTTTCGCTTCTGCTTCGTCTACCACTGCTCGCACGGTGACTTCTTTCTAAGGTGGAATGCTTCCCTACTGATGTATTTTTACATCCCACAGCTTCGGCATATCACTTAGCCCAGTTCATCTTCGGCGTAAGAACGCTTGACCAGTGAGCTATTACACACTCTTTCAAGGGTGGCTGCTTCTAGGCAAACCTCCTAGTTGTCTCTGCACCCTTACCTCCTTTATCACTGAGCAATCATTTAGCTGGTGATCTGGGCTGTTTCCTTCTCGACGATGAAGCTTATCTCCCATCGTCTCACTGGCCGATCTTGACCCCTGTTATTTTGAGGTCATATCTAGTATTCAGAGTTTACCTCGATTTGGTACCGCTCTCGCGGCCCGCATTGAAATAGGGCTTTACCCCTAGATGTTTAGTCAACTGCTGTACCTCAATGCAATTCGGGGGATAAGCTTCATGCATAAGAGGTTATTATATGATGATTTTTGAAAAGATTTTTCTATTGATTTCTACAACACTTAAAATCGACCAACAGTAAAGATACACAACGACTAAAATAGTGCCAATTGAGCATCTACAATACGGATGAAGCCAATATTTCATACTTCAGAGATCAACCTTTCCAAAGGACAAGGAAGAGGTCCGTAAACTTAGACATAAAGCAAGACACTTCATCTTACAAGATGATATGCCCTAAAAAGGGATTTGTCTTTGCTTCTCCTTGGATACACAAGATGAGAAGAGGCAAATTATGTCCTTATGGAAATCCACGAGGGAATAACCACACTACATGTCATACATTGATACAAAAGGCATGAAGCAAGGTTACTTCTACACTGTGCGTAAAAATAAAAAATACCAACGCTTTGCCAGTATTACAAGACAACCCTCCCAAAAACTCACTATGGTGACAAGATGTAGGATTGAACCCATTGGCCCCACCTAAGAGAAGAGGCAATGCATACTATTGTCTCGATTGATAGAAGCCAAGCCACTGGAAAAGATCTATGAGGCCAACACTTTTGCTTTCCATCCTAGATATTTTCAAATTAGTTAATTAGGTTAATTTAACAATAGATTAAATTAAATATTGTCTTTCCTTAATTTAGTCAATTAATATTGTCTTTCCTTAATTTAGTCTATTAAAAAATCAAGAATATCTTTAATTATATTATGTGATATACTAATCTTCTTATCTTGTTCTAATGACTACTGTTTGGGTAAGAATTAATTCCTATCATTGATAAGCTTTGAAAACCTAATTTCGTCTGGTGAACCAGCCATTTTCATGCAAGTGCATATGAATTTGATACTTCATCGGTTATTTTCAAATTCAATGTCTTTTTCAAGTATTTGAAGAATATAAAACAATTTGTACTGAATGTTCAATCCATTCATTGATTAAGTTGGTTGGCCTGCGTTAAGGATATTGATATTTAATCCAAGTGGAGGTTGCGATCGAGTACAATAGGAAAGTGATAATAACTTCAACATCGATGGGTTTGATTCTACTTCAACAACAAGTTAGAAGAAGAAGATACAAATGAAGTTGTTCTTAGTTACTTTTGATTGCTCTTTGTTAATTTTACAAAATTATAAAATGGGTATTATTGTATTTTTATCAATTAATTAGTGGATTGCTTGACCTATGGCATGGGGGTCCATAGATGTTTCCCTTCAGGGTTTACCATTTCGTATTTGGTGTTCAGTTTTAATTTGTTATTTAAATTTCACACTTAGTTAAAACTACTCGACCACAATATCAATCTACATATTGCAGTCTAAATCGTTCAAAATTGAGCATAGGAAGTTCTATCTGTCTGTTATCCAGTGTTTTAATAGTTTAATTAGAATTCATTTTTGTTTTATCTAGGTTTTAGAATTTACACTGGTATTAGAGCAGTTTTACTTTTACAAAAAATGAGATTTAGGATAAACCTATATGTTGATGGAGCACCCTTTAGACCTCCTATCCTATATGGGACTAACTCATATTGGAAAATTAGGATGTAGGTTCATATTCAATCCCTAAATGAAAAGCTTAGCATATTGTCTATGGATTTAAAACATCCACTGTAACTGAAAATGAGAAAGAGAGAAAAATGCTAAAAAATGGGGGACTACAGATTTTAGTTATGCAAGTTGGAATTCAAATGTTTTAAATGTCATTTTTCTCTTTTGTAGATTCTAACCTATTTCGTTTGATCTCTACATGCAAGGTGGCCAAGGAAGCTTAGGATATACTACAAGTTTCTCATGAAGGAACTTTCATTGTAAAGTCATTGAACTTTAAATGCTCACTTTAGAGTTCGAACAATTAACATTGAGAGAAGATGAACAATTCAAGTACTTTTACGTCAAACTCAGTGACATCACTAGCTTAGCATATACCTTAGGAAAGAAGCAGTGGCAGAGCTAGCACCCAACGAGGTGGCATGGCATCCCGTGCTAGCTCCATTGAAATTTACAGGATGGATTCCATCATGTTGCAGACTTCAGTCACCACAGGGAAGAAGCTGAATGGATTAGGAAATGAGGAAAAAAGATAAGTTTGGACCTAGACCCCCTTTTTTTTTTGAGGAAATTAGGCTGTATACCCTAAAAAATAAAGTATTTTGATTAATACCTTTTAAAATAATTAAACATTTTAATCAAGTAATAATTACGATCTAATCTCTCCGCCAACTACTGAAACAGCTCCACCGGTGGCTGGTTCTAATCTAGCCATGGCCGAACCGCAGAAAGTCGATTACATGAACCTTNATTTTGATTAATACCTTTTAAAATAATTAAACATTTTAATCAAGTAATAATTACGTCCTAATCTAAATTGTTAACTAAAACTCCAACCCGCTAAAGTAACATGATAGAATCCCATTCCTCTCATCCATACGGCTCCATTCTCTGCTATTTGGAGCTGATTTGGCTATGGAGAAGGGGAATTTCAGCTCCGAGCAAGTGCAAGCCCTCGGGTTAAATCGTTACTAAAAAGATGAGAATTGGCGCTCCCATCCGAAACCAAAGGCTTCGCAATTACTGGAAACTTCAGCCCCTCTGTTTCAATGAAATCATAAAAAGATGCAGGATTTTCAACAAAAATTTGCTCGGAATATCAAACGGAATTTCAGTTTGTTGACATATCTTTAGCTCGTTTACAACTTGGAGCATAGAAATCCGATTGTGAAGCCGGTCGATGGCGTCAAGAGGGTCGACGACGATAACATCCGGGTTTCGGGAAGAGAATTATTCCAATTCTTTTCTAAATTCAGGGCCGTACAATTTGTGGATGATGTAATGGAATAACCTTGATCAATTAAGGGTTTACTGAGATCGATTGGAACCAGATCAATGCCTCCGTTCTTAGTGTGAATAATAAGCGAGGGTTGAATGAAACTCTACACTTTCTTTGGTTCTTAGCGTGTGTTCTTGCTAGCTTCAGGTGCTGCTCGTAAGGTTTTGAATATGGTATAAGGTGTTTGATAAATTACCTGAATGAGTTTTTAGTTGCAATCATGTGCGTGTTTCTATAGATGATAGATATGTATATAGGAGTATACAAAGCAATTACCAAATTCTTCTCTTTCTCAACAGCATAGGTGCTCCAAGAATCAATTTTCAAGAGAACAAAACTTAATATCTTATTTTTGTACAATTACCTTATTCGATATTCAGCATTTCAATCCTGGTATATTTTCCATTGTTCAAAATTGCTGAGGTACGTTTCAAGTTCTGATACAAATATTCAGTCCATGTTTAGCAAGAGTTTAAAGTCTTCACAAGCTTGGTTTCTTTTCTTTTGCAGTGTGTCCAGAGACACCTGGAAGACTTTGGAAAACTCTTGAAGTTCTCGAAGCAATGAAGGGGCCATTTCTTTTAGGGGCACAGAATGGAGTAGAAACGATTGTCACTAAAATTCTATGTTATTTTCCTGCCTCAATAAATTCTACAGATGAAGAGAATCATTCAGGATTTCATCTTGCTGTAATGTACCGTCGTGAAAAGGTTTTTAAGAACAGAAGAATATTGGACAGGATATCTCCAGTTATACTTCCAATTGTACATTCTTTCAAATCCCCCTACCCCAGCAAACAGAAGATATTCTTCTTCTTATTGAACTGTAGAAGACATGAACTCGTAATTTGAACGCTGTCAATAGCTTGCTAGTTGTCATGTATCAACACTTACATTGTAAATATTCAATAATTTATTCAAAAAAAAAGCTGTCAAAAGCTTGCTTGTTGTCTTGTATCAACACTTACATTGTAAATATTCAATAATTTATTCAAACAAAATCTATTTTTGTAGTTTGTTATTGTTACATATAACAGAGTTGATGCTATGAGTTCTTGGCTACTATTTTGAGCAGGTTCGATTTGTTATATACATTTGACACCTTTGTTGATGCTTGATTGTGTGGTATGCTGAAAGTTGAATTACAGTGAGTTTAGTGCAGACATCACAATAACACTTTTTTTTCCAAAATTGTCACTTTTTTTTTTAAATTTTTTGTCACTTTTTTGAGTTTGTCACTTTTTGAGTGTGTTTGTCACTTTTTTTGAGTACATAATCAGCATGCAATGGATGAGTCTATTTTGGTATTTGAGTTTGTGTCACTTTTTGAGTGTGTTTGTCACTTTTTTTTAGTGTGTGTGTCACTTTTTTTTAGCTTTGTCACTTTTTGAGTGTGTTTGTCATTTTTTTTT